ATGAATGCCTGTGGATATAGTGAAAAACTGGGTGATGAGATGTCTCTCGGTCTCCAGAAGCTTGGCTGAAGAGAAATATTCCAGCATAATAACGATCCAAAGCGCACTGCCAAAATCACACAAGAGTTCCTAAGGAAGAAAAATGTGAAAACTCGGGCTGGGCCAAGCACGCTGCGTGACTTGAATCTAATAGTAAATCTCTTCAAAAAATTTTTAGTTTGGTAATATGGGATGACATGGTAAGTACTTAAGAAGAAAAACAACATCAAAGTAATGAAAAGCAAGCTAAATTTAAAGCATGTTCACTCACAATGAATTGTTCTGCCAGGTAAATATAGGCCATGGTCACGATTTGAGAACGACTGTAATAAATCTAAAGAACCTATAAGCAAATATCCTACTCGTCGGTTTAGATACAATATCATGTCAACATTATATAATAATGAATAATGTGACATTTAAGTTACAATGTATGGGTGTAACTGCTGAGTTTGTTTCCTTGAAGCTTGCAGACTGCAGTGCTAACACAGCCATATATATCACTTCTTATTATAATCAGTTTGCAGACACTCTGACGCCAATTTCCAAGATGTTTCCTGACATAGGCTAATGCAGCTTAACCAAGCATGTCTGTTTGTGTGTGTGTTTTGAAGCTGCACCTCAAACTGTGGCAATGTCTTTATGACTGCCTGCTGCACTGTAAGCAAGAAGACAGTTCACTGGTGATGTTAGCCAACATGATGTCAGTGTGTGTGGACCTGATTGAGGCATACCTGCCCTGACGTCTCCCTCTACAAATCTAAAGCTAAGAATCACCTCCACAGGTAAGAGTTTGACAAAATTAGGCTTTTTCAGTGTGGATCCATCCTCCTGGCAACTTTTAGCTATGAGCTTCTTTACAACATGAATACAGACGAGCAGCGGTATTCTGAGGTGTCAAACAATATTTTTGGGGCTTTCTAAATCATTCAAGCAACAGTAATGAATGTAAAATTACAATGTCCAGAATTGCTTCTAATAACTGAAGGGGAACTGCTACATCTGCGTCTGTAAAGGTGTGTGGACAGGGCATGAAATTAAGTTCTCCTGCTCACTTAAGATAACAGCTTACTTGCCTAATTTAGTGGTCAGACACAGGGGCCAGTTTGCAAATGAGACAGGACATAAAATTCCCTATTGCATGCACAGTCATTTTTTTTCCCTTACTTGCTATAGTCTACCTTAAAGTCAAAGGGCTCATCAAAGTCTCAGCAAACCTATCAAAACTCTGTATTGCTGCCATAGCGACAACATTCAAAGCTAAGTCAACAGCATTAGAGACATGCAGGCAGCTCTTTAGCTCACAGACAGAAATAACAACCTAACAAATGACACCAGCAGCAGCACCGCCAACTACCCTCATTTAAAACTAAAACATAGCAGCAGTTTACATGCAACAACATCAAAACTGAGAATATGGTCCGACTTTTCCACATAGAGGGCTTCGTGTGTGACAAAACAACTCTGACATATACAATTCAATAAAAAAAATCTCCATGTTTTTAACATGGAAGGGAATTTTTAGGTAGTTCTTACTTTATTGTTTAGATTAGGAAGACTAAGTTTAAGTGTAATTATTGTGTTATTATATAATCCTTCTATAAACAACAGGAGTCAACGATCTAATGGGTAATAACAAGTACTCTGAGCTAGTACATTATACTCAGTCAAATTTTATCCAGCCTGCTACAAATTTCAGTCTAGCAGCTCAGTGAGGCAAGATCCAAACCAAACAAATTTTGATGAATATGGGTGTTTGCACAATAATCTGACACACGGCCACACAATTTAACATGCATGAAGTGCGATAAAAGCAATACAGCACTGTGCCGTTGTAACACCAATACAATGCACACAAACATTCACATCTGGGCTCGCTCTCCCAGGCTCCCTGTAACATACGACAGTGTAATGAAGCACAAAACACATACTGTTGAAGCATCTGGTGCAGGCAAAAAAAGAGAGGAAAAAAAGAGCGACAGACAAGAGTAAAGAGAGACACTGAGAAAAGTTAGGAGCAAATGCTGTGTAATGCAGGAAACGAGAGAAGAGGAGAGAGACAAAATGGAGATGCTTTTGCCCACAAGCTTGTTACAACCACAGATAACTAAGGAGAATAAATACACACGAAGGGCAACGGCACAGGTCAACAATCTGACCACACTGAGCACACCCGGAGGGAAAGGACAGCAGAAAGTGACTGTGGAGAAGAGGGAGAAGAGAGCAGAAGGAAGACCGGAGGGAGGGAAGACACAAAGTACTAGTGTCTTAATGATGGGAGGCACCAACAATGCCGGGGGGGAGGGGGGAGAGAGAGAGAGAGAGAGAGAGAGAGATGCGAGAATAGGACGAGGACAGAGAATAAAAACCAAACTTAGAAGACAATAAAAAGGGAAAAGACAGGAAAGCGCACACCATAAAAAAGACAGAATGCACAAAGAGGGAGTCAATAAAAACCAAAACAACCAAAACAGAAGAAAAACAAAAGAAGGGTTATTGCAGATAGTCTGTAAGCTGACTTTTACAACCGCTGCCTAGACAAAAGCGCCACACCCCCTTTGCCTCGTACCTTTAGAGGAGGAAAATGTAATACAAGCTTATATAAAAAGATATGACACGAAACGGTGTGCTGACTGAAAGCACGATGGTCAAACATCCTTGAGTGTGGAAAAAGGGTTTTTATTTCAAATATGCACTCTGCCACGACACTAAAATCTTATAAACGGAAGGGATAGTTTCAGGTATCTCTATATTTAGAAAATGAAAATAATTCAAGGACCCAACAAACCTGTGATAAGTAAGTGCAGTCAAAAAATGCTTTGATTGGTTCCTTCTCAAAAATAAATGCACGTCAGTCACCTGGAAATATAAGCAATGCATGTTTTTGTTGCACAGTAATGCAAAAGATTTCATCTCCAACACTAATTTCCCTGATGAGTGCTCAGGAGGTAAGGAATGAGAGACATCGAGCACAACAGACTCCGGGTCACTGCAGTCTTTGTTTTGTTTCGTCTTTTAAGGACACCATATATCGTATCAATTAGTATTTTTCCCAGGTGTCGCCAAGTATACGTGTGTTAGCATGTACTTGTGTGTTTTCAATCTTGAAGTGATTTTGAGGAAAGCGAGTGTGGAAGGGGAAAAAGGAAAAAAAAAAAAAAAATCGATCTGCCTCACTCTCTGCAGTGCTGCAACCACTGGGTGTGTACTACTGTTTCACTGTATCTGCTTATGCCCCAACTGCAGGGGCGCCACCAAGTGGTCAGACTTAAATCCACAGTCTTTTGGAAAGAATTTAGACTGACGTGCAAGGAAAGAAGAGAGGCCACGAGAACACAAAGAGGCGGAGAGATATTTATAGTTGTGCAGCTTTTGTTTAAGTAACTAAGCTTAGGTGGAAAATACCTTGACACCAGATGCTGGCTGACCACAAAGCTCTCACTCATCCAACTACATTCACTCACTCCTTCAATTTCAAGTAGCTCCTCATTGCAAGCAAAGCTGTGAAAACATTTAAAAGCAGATAGAGTTTTTTTGTACCTCTCCCTCATTCCTTGGGGGCCGAATGCTGGACAGGTGGATGGTCTTGTATTCGCCAGAGTTGAGCTTGACCACCATGGCGTCAGCGTTGACCACCTGCATCACCTACAAGGAATAGAAGAACAGAGGAGCGGGAATGGTTAAAATAAAAACAGCCCCCCAAAAAAATTTACTTCGGGAATGTGATTAGGTGAGCATACAGCACAAAAACAAGAACATGAAACTCAATTAGAAATCAATTTAAGGGTCCAAAAACTTAAAACCTTGGGGTAATTACAAACCCACGTGCAGGGCAGTGGGGGTGCTGGAGTAAGAAAAAGAATGGCATCGCATTTTGTTGAGTGAGTAAGCAGATAGACTGACAGAAAGATGGGAAGTGAAGGAGCAGGTAAAGGATAAATGGAGAGGAAGAGATCTGTTCAAAGGCAGAAAGAGAGTGACAGAGCACACTGTGTGCTGTCATGAGCAGGAGGCAACAAGAGTGAGGTAAGAAAGAGTGATCCTTGAGTGAATGAGTAAGTTAGCAAGCTACGGCATCCCAGTAGGCCAGCTAGGTTTGGAGGACAGGGCGAGGACGTTCTGCAATCTGGGGGATTGACAGCATGCAAGGAGGGAGGGTAGAGGAGGGAGACAAGAGTGCGTGAGGAAAAAAAAGCTCTAAAACACAAACATCGTGTTTAAGATAGACTGGCAGAGCATTACACAGTTGTCTACTCGACTACTTGCTGGCAGCATTTTGTTCTGGAGACCTTTAGAAGTGTAACTAAATACACAGACTAATTTATGTCTGGCATTTAAATGTTATTTCTCTCTGTTCCAATGGGAGTTTAGGGAAGTACAGTTCAGAAGTATGTGTGAATGTTCAAAAGTGATAGCTTAGAACTACAGCATTTCTTCCCAATGACAGAACATCACAAAAGCACTCAGAACTTCAGAGGGAAATCTGAAATCTACTGACATAGATGATAAATTATGAATCTCAGAGAAATGTGTACTCGTGTCAAGTCATTAAAAATGAAGGGTGAAGCAAATATTTCTAACACAGCACAGTCTATATATGTGCCGTCCAATGTGCTCACTTTAGTTGGAAGACAGATTGAGGGTATAATGTGATTTAGACGGAGAAGGCATCCAAACTCGGAGCCTTTAAGTAGGCCACTTGCAACAGACTGAGAAATCAATCGCCCTACACATGTAGCCACCCACACATGCATTAAATGGCCTCATCATCACTCAAAGTGGAGTTCATATGTAGGCCGGGCACAAAAGTCCTCAAAATGAGAGATGCAGGTCTGAGCGATGTATCAACCACAATTTGGACTGCGTGGGTGTTTGTGTGGCTGCAGCTGTGGTAGAAAAACAAACCAACCAAAAATTGAGAAAACGTTGAAACTTTATGTCGATACTGCAGACGCAAATCCAGGTATATTAGGCTCATTGGGAGATTCATTATTCCATGAAAACAAATCAGACTGCCGTTGCATTTTGCCACCAGAGAACAGAAATTAGACCAGCCCACATGCTAAATAGGCTGCCTGCAAAAGCAGCCAAAATACATCATACACTAATCACTGAGCTGAGTGGGAGAGATACAGAGACTTAGGGAGCAGGAGGGAGAGAGACGGAGAAGGGGAGAGGTGTAATGAGTAAGAGCGAGGGGACGCGTGCGTGCACATAGACGTGCGCACACATACCAGCCTACATGCATTCACACTGTAACAAGGTCATTTTGTGGCCTGCCCAAGTAAATAAAGTGCAAGAGAGAGAACGTGGCGGGAGCAGAATAAAAATGGCTCAGCATTTACTGGCTAATTATCAGCTGGAGGAGGCGAGAGGAGCGAGGCGAAGGAGGACAGATCAACACACACCAAGATAGACGAACAGAAAGCTGGAGCGAGCCAGGGAGATAGAGTGTAATCTCACAGCAAATATCACAGGAACAGAGACAGAGGAAAAGATGGAGACTAGATCGAAAAATAGAGCAAAAACTCTTTGGAAAGTTAGCTGCCACGAGGGTTGAGCGAGCAGGCAGAAGAGACAAACAGGCTGGCAGCATGACTCACTGGTCTCTTCTGCTACTCGAACGGTGGGGATCTACTGCCACCCTCTGCCTAGTAATGACATGACATCTGCAGTGGTCAAGATCAGTCATAGCGCAAGGAGAATCTTGGCTACTATCGGGGAAAGTGCTGGTTGACTCTCACATTTATTCAGTTGGTTTTAACCACATGGCCACATGTGGGCTTAGCCAGGACTTGGTCATTACTCGCGTCACATCGCCTTCCGCAAAAGCAACACCAATGCATTGTGTTCCATGTGGACACCAGTAGATTTGATGTGATCTAAATGCCATGGTTTAACATACAGATTTAAATGCCATCAAAGCTGCATATAGGGATAACAAGCATTTCACATGGGTATGACAAGCACTTAATTTGCATTGTTTAATGCTGTTAAACAAAAACACTAAACAGCAGGGGTAGGGAACTCCAGGCCTCGAGTGCCGGTGTCCTTGGATGTGTTCTTCATCCAAAACAGCTGATTTAAGTGGCTAAATTACCTCCTCAACATGTCTTGAAGTTCTCCAGAGGCCCAGTAATGAACTAATCATTTGATTCAGGTGTGTTGACCCAGGGTGAGATCTAAAACCTGCAGGACATCAGTTCTCGAGGCCTGGAGTTCCCAACCCCTGCTTTAGAGGGACTCTAACCCAGGGGTGGGCAATCTCAGTCCACGAGGGCCGGTGTCCCTGCAGGTTTTAGATCTCACCTTGGGTCAACACACCTGAATCACATGATTAGTTTGTTACCAGGCCTCTGGAGAACTTCAGGACATGTTGAGGAGCTAATTTAGCCATTTAAATCAGCTGTGTTGGTTCGAGGACACATCTAAAACCTGCAGGGACACCGGCCCTTGTGGACTGAGATTGCCCACCCCTGCTCTAGCCTGAATAACTTTAAAACTTTTTGTTTTTTTACTTTACTGCTGCTCAACTTTAGAGTTTAACCTGCAAGCCTTTCTCTCCAAATGTGTCATTTTGTTTTGTTATTTTAAGAAGCTGTCAGACATTAAGCCCAGTTTGTCTAACTTGGTTTAAAGGCAATGCACATGTTACCTTTCTGTCTTACACACAGTATTACTAATTGTATTTTGCACCTATGCCTCATTACATTTAACAGCACACCCATAAGCCTTTTTACTCCCAACACTGATCAGAAAATCTTTATGCAACTACTAAAACTCCCAGCTGGAGAGCAGTAAATCCAGGTACTTTATACATATGTGATTCTTATGGATTTGGATGAGCTCATCACCAGCAGTGTTCCTGACAAGCCGCTGATGAGCTTGGCAAAGGGCTTTACAGTACGTCACCCTTTGTCTATCACCTTGCAAGTCAGTGGTTACCTGGGGGAGAAAGGGGGTACTTTTGGGACATGGCCTACATTCCTATTCTTTAGTCCCAGCAGAGGAGGGGGAGAAAGAGTCGAGACAGTCAAAAAGGAAGATGCGTCAGCAGGATTGACTTGTGGGGATTGGACCCGCTGCGTCTCTCCACTCTATCCATCACTCAGGTAATAAGAAGTGAAAAGCAGAGTGGATGAGGAGAGGGGAGGAGTGTATGATGATGGGATTGATGGATAAAAGTGTCCTTGTGAGAGTGGCTGCACTGCAGCATTAGGTGCCGACAAAAGTAACAGGGACGAGTGTAGAAGGGCAGTGACAGGCCGGCGTAACTTTAGGCTGTCCGGTATGTACATAGCTTTAAAACAGTTCAACTAGCTGCAGGGTCAACAAGACACTTTCCATCAAATCAATTTTTAAGGGAACATTTTTAGACCTGCGTGGTCTAAAAACCTGCGAGGCTTATCACTCGCTGGAATTACTTTGCAAGCTATAACAGACAGCATTTAAGTTATAGAAAGCAGTTGCACTTTAAAGGAGATCACCCAGACGAGTCACAACATCCACAAAGTACGATATCTAAACTAATCCCCAAATAAACTGGCTAACGTAGCAGCAGCTGACACTGAGCACGCTTAAGCTGCAAGGTAAGTAAAGGACAAAGAAACATCCTGAGAAAAAATTCAAAAGTGCATCGAAGTTTAACTGGGGGCATGAGCAGTGCACTGCAGAAGGCCAAAATAAATAAATAAATAAAAATAAAAAAGACTGACTACTCGTTTCCTTTTCATCCTATACACATCCACACAAACCTACACTTTCAGTGTCTTCTTTAACCCTCTACCTCTCACTTTTTTATATTCTTTGTGCCTGCTTTTCATACACTCCCCTGAGCTCACCACCAAATGTTCCCTCACTTGCACACTGCCCACATTCAACCCTCTTTTACTGAGGGGGTTCAGAGAGATCTAAACGCAGCTCGCGCCGATAATATAAATGTTTTATCCTCTCTCGATCCTCTTCCCTCTGACTCAGGAAAAAAAAATATACATGCTCATAGTTTTCTTTTGGTGCCTTCTATATGCTTGTGCAGTTTATCAAATTCATCCTGTAAGCAGATTGCCAAAGCAACACCTTTTATGTAACCCTTAGGCCAGCTATGAATTTTTCAGGGTCTTAAAAGTTTGGGGTCTGGAGGGAGCAAATGCAGACAAAAGACAAACTTCCAAAAGGCTCAACTTTTTTCTTTTTATTAAGCGTTTCCAGAGAGAAAAATATATATATTTACTAAGGGGAAGGTATGGGGGCAACTAGCCAAAATGCTCAGAGGGGGCCACATTTAAAGCTGACGTTTTAAGGCTAGAGTTGCTTTACTGCATTAAAGTGCCCTGTAATGTGTTATCTCATTGTGACAACAAGGTTAAGCTATATTACCAAATGTATCAAGGAGTCAATCTTATTTGGTTTGAATGTGCTGACATTTAGGATGGACTGCACCCCCACTGTACTTGATATTATGGATGTTTCTTTTCTCCCGAGGGCCGGGCCAATAACCTCCAAAGCTAATATCTCTAGTTGTTGGCTTTTGGGGTCGTTCTGTGCCGCTGCTACAGCACACACCAGCAATTTGGCACTAATTTGCCTGGGGATTGCTTCAAGGTTGCTGTTAAGCATTCCTTGTACCTTTACTGAGGGGATCTTTTCTCCCTATATATTCATTGGGGTGTGTAAACGTGAAAGCAAGAAGTGTCAGGAAGAGATAATTCATTACAAGCATCAGAGTGCTCGTGCTTTCGCTGCGTTACCGAGAGAAAATTGGAAATGCAGCAGAAGGCATCAACTTGTGAATCCAAGTGAAGCTGCCTTTCTCGCTTCCTTTTACAACCAAATTCAAGTCTTACACATACTTAACAATGCCTTCATGTCATGCACAAAGATTTACGCTCTACACATGCTCTCTCTCCCCCCCGATGAAGCAAATTGATCCTCATAACAAGCCCCTTCTTAATAAGACTACAAATTACCACTTTAAGTCCTCACCTTAGCTACAAATTGCCTGTCCTTCTGATCCAAGTTGGCTGTCGGCGCCACATAGTCTTTCCAGATCCGAACCTTGCGCTCTTTAGCAGATCTGGAAAGACAACGACAAATAACATTTTAAATAAAAATATAAAATACTCATCATTAGTTAGATATCAGGAGATATGGTTTAATCAAGTGACTAGAAATATCCAGTTGGCTGGAAAACACTAAAAACAGCTGATTAAATCGAATTTGGCTTGTGTCAAAATGTATTTTCTGTTGCGTACCGTTCAGCAGCTCTGAGTTTTTCAGCTCCCTGGGTGTAAACAGCCATGGACCAGTCCACACAGCGTGCAAACCCTTCTTTCAGCAGGAGTTCTGTGATGTTACCATTCTGAGACAAAATCAAATGAGCACGGTCAAAAAAAAAACCCAAAAGGAATAAAACGAAAAGCCAAGAACTAACAATGTCACCACTAGGTACTGATTTCAGTGTTTTACCGGGTGAAGGATTGTGCCCAGTATGATCTGGTTGGGGCAGCTCTCCAGGATGATTTGAACGTCTCGCTGAAGAAGACGGGATTCAGTGAAGAATCTGGCCTCTGCTGCGAATGGCTCTGGCGTTTCTGTACCATCTCCTTCCCTCTTGAATGTGGGACACTGAGAGGAAGAGAAATGGAAAAAGAAATATAGATTACCCGTGCACTAATCAGTGTATGTTTTCCAAGTATTTGTGCATTAAAATGTATAACTGATTAAATACACTTTGCAAGAAACTCTTTTCACTGTGCCTGCAGTCTTCTTAATTGTTGTCACCTTAATGTGCATGTTATCTCTAATCATGTCTGAAGCGTGGCAAAATACCAGACAAATATATTCACCATGGGCGAGACAAGCAGACAAGTCTTTGAACAATGAGGCAAAGAACACCTTGAAATGAATGAAATGTCTTCAAGTGGGGGATGAAAAACATTATTTATCTTAAGTGATCCATTGGCAAAGCTGGACTTGATGAAAGAGACTGATGGGCAAATGTGCAAGAACACCACTGCTAGAATAAACAGACTAAAGGAAGTGACAGAAAGAGACATTACTTATGTAAAAATACCACCAAAAAAATAGCTGGGTGGCTTTTATTTAACTACATGTTGTTACTTCAATCTCCTAGCAGAAACTGCAGAGACTTAATTGTTTAAATTGCAGAAAAAAAAGCAAATAAAACCACACTATGTAACATGTAACTGTATGTGCAGCAAATAAGTGGTGGTTACCTTAATACCAGACAGCATAACAGTGACCAGATAGTAGTCTGGGAGCAGCAAGGCACGAACAACGCTTCCATCCCGCACATGCTCGATGATGGCTAAAGGGAGAAGAGACAACATAATGTAAAATCATTCGAGGGAGGAAAGATTGTGTGTCAAATTATGATGTGCTTAAATACCTCAAGTTCTTAAAGTTAAATGTAACTGTTGTGGACTACACAAAACTAAATCACGCAACTGCTGGCTTAGGAAAATGTAGAGTTTAAAAGATGGAAATCTAGGAGTGAATTATTAGTGATCCAGGGTGCAATCCAATTGCTTTCAGAAAGCTCACTGAGTGATTGTTATTGAACTCAAAACAGGAACCAGGCAAACACAACCCAATGATTTAATGAACAGTGTGACTGAAGAGTTGTCCTCTGAGAGGAGAAAGTCACAGCCTGAACTCCACATCAAAGTCACATTTCATCCAAAACCCACTACTCTAGATTTAAAGGAAGAACACTTCCTTCTTCGTGACATCAAAAGGCTGTGATCAGTTTGAGCTCATGTTGGTTAAAATGAACTAGAATACTTTTCACACCCTTAAAAGTAACATCATGTTAACCGCTGCTTTGAATGATTTTGCAAAAAATATAATTAGAAAAAAAAAGAGTCAAGTTTGACCAGCATATGTTCCCTGACACACACATTTAACAAATCACTAGAAATACCTTCTTTCATCTGTGCAATGCTGTCAAAATGAGGAACATCCTGTTTCGGAGGGACGCTGAAAAACTACTCTATCATTACTTATTTTCACTGCTGTAATTCCCAGTCATCTGGCTGTCCTAAAAATCTTTAGTTGACTCAACATGCTGTACAAAAAGTACTAACCGGGAAAAGAAAAGGAGATCACATTTCTCCCATATTACCATCTCTTCTAATGTTAAATTAAGAGCTTTTCTCATCACAAACCTAACCTTTGGAAACAGCTTCTCATGTGAGCTCAGGAGACAGACGCACTAACCTTAAAACTTTTTTCTTTTATAAAACTTGAAGTTAGGGGCTAGGTCAGGTGACTCTGAACAATCTTGAATTTAGAAAGCGCTGTAAGTTCAGGCTGCAGAGAGACGTCTCATTCACCTCTCCTTTACACCATAGTGTGATAATAGTGCAATTAATTAGCTTTTTTTTAAAATTGTGTGTTATGTATTATTTACCTTTTCTCTCAATTGTGTATGAATGAACTAAACCCTTTAAAAGACACTTTTGTTAGGTGCCCATTTAGCTCAGAGAGCAGCGGCCCAGGTTTGAGTCCCGCCCGTGGCCCTTTGCTGCATGTCTTGCACCCCTCTTTCCTCACCTTCCTGTCTATCTTCACTGTTTCACTATCCAACAAAGGCAAAAATGCCAACAAATAATCTTATAAAACACACTTTTGTTTAATAAATGTATGATAAGCTAATGATGAGTCATGTAAATAATCAAGAATATAAAACTGCTTGAAATAATAACGATGATAATAATAATAATAATTCTAAAGTTACAATTAACCAGCTTTAATCCACTGTCTCTCATAGTCTGTTTTTTAATCCTCTTTATTTCAAGTATTTGCAAAAAAACGAGAGCCTGTTCTGTCTGTCTGCTCTTCCTTGTTAAGAGTTCTTCTTTTCGACTGTCACCACATGTCACTTCATGGGGGACTGTCTGATAATTGGTGTCTTTACCTTATAATTTAAACTCCCTTGAGATCACTTTTGTTGTTGAACTGACACTACATGAATAAAGCACTTTGACTGTGGTCAGCTTGAATGCATGCTTCATAATTTCCCAGTACATACTTCTTTCATAATTCTTTGTGTGGGGGGAAAAAAAGAAACCAATTTATATGCATTACAACAGACTTCAATGCAGGGGCATTTAATCTTGACAGGTTTTTAGGTAACTGTTAAAAAAAGGAATTTCACACCTAAATAATCTTCTGCGATGGGCTCACTTAGCGTCTGAAAGGTTTCTGTCTATAGATGTGAATGTACAGGTGTTATATGCATGTCAATGGGAACAGATGAGAGAAACTGGCATACCCATTTTTAAACAGCTATTTTCTATGTGTAGAATACTTCAACTGGATTGCTGCCTCCAATTTTAAAATAGCCCTGAAATTCTCATAAATGGCAAGAATAAGAAATGAAAGAAAGAAAAAGTGCCCCTTGTTCATTTTTCTATTCTGCAGAAGGGTGGCGAAATGAGCTTAACCACTGTTACCGGCACTCTTCTCGAAATAGAGTGGCACATTACAGCTCGAGTAGGTCGAGATGAGGGCCAAAGGAATGAGCTGGTGAAGAGCGAGACAGTGTGTGCCCTTACATGCCATGAAGTGGATATTCAGGACAAAACATCCAAGCCCAGATCAACTGATTTCTGCTGCCTTATAAAGATATGATCTAACAGTCTTAATTTTAAATAAGATCAGTTTTTCTGAAGAATCTTACAGATCACAATATTAAAGGAAAAAAACAGCACTGCCCAAACTTTCCTGCTCTAAGAAAGTTATTTAGTACAACTTCAACATGTAGTGCTCATGAGGCCCATGATCCAAATAAACAAACAGAGGTTATGTATGTAATCTCTTTTTACATTTTCATGTATTGTTTTTCTTCATAGGCCAAACATTCATTTTTCAAGAGTGAGGTAAAAGTCCATCTACTATTCCTTACCATTGATAGGTTTCTGGTGCAAGGAGTCGACAAAGTTGCGGGGATTCTCTATGGTGTACTTGATGTTGCGGATAGTCTGCGCGCCACCACCCTCGCTCCACAAACCCTTCTTAGAGGCCTTTGACTGGTCCTCCAAGTCACACAGTCTGGCCTGCTCTGGACTGAAAAACCAAAAACCAAAAAATTAACACCCACAAAAAACACATTTCAAAATTTTGACCACTCTTAAAGTTGTAAAATCTGTATGGTGCTAAATGTATATGCAAGAAATAACATCGCTAACTTTTCTCTATATGAGCTTTGTGATGCAATTTTAAATATGTGGAAAACTATGCGAGAGATATTTTGCCTATTGACAAGCCCTCTATTCTATGAGAACTTGAATGCAGCCGCAGTGTGTGGGCTCATCACTGCAGGGGCAGTTGAGTTTCTCTAATTTTAACAAACCGCGAGACCAAAACTAAAAACTCCATGGCAACTATAAAAGATTCCCTTCGGTGAAAGCGCAATGCAGCATGAAACCTTGCCACTGCGGCGCTACTTTATATGTGGCTTCTCACCAACCTTGAAATT